CCCGCTGAGCCACCCGGGCGTCCCTGAGGTTCTCCTACCTTAACGGGAGGATCAGCCTGGATCGCTGTATCAGGCGGTTGCGAACTTTTTCTGGAAAAGCCTGTGTGGCTATTTTCAGCTCTGTGGGGCCAAGGGGTCTCTTTGAAGCTGCGGCGCTCTGCCACTGTAGCGCGAGAGCGGCCGCGCCATCGGCCAGGGAGCAGAGCTGCGTGCCCATAAAGCCCTATTTACGGGAACAGGCCGCGGGCTCTTTAGTCCATCCTGATCCACAAGTGATGAGTTTGATTCCGTGACCTAATCTTGTGTCATGCTTTCAAATATTCACCCTTGGGGCGCCTGGGTGGCTCAGTTGGTGGGGCACCCACCTGATCACAGGCCGTGATCTCAGGGTCGTGGGATCGAGCCCCGGTCGGCTCCATGCTCAGCAGGGAGGCTGCTTGAGACTCTCCCTGTCCTTCACCCCAAACCCCTGCTCACGACTGCACACACTCTCTCACACTCTCCAAATAAATAAATATTTTAAGTAAATAAAATCTTAATAAAAAAAAATATTCATCTTAGCTGTTTTCTGAAATCTTGATCTTTTGTGGAGGCTATTTTTCCTGTCTTTGTCTCTCTAGTTAATCAAAAAGGATATATGTTTTACACTTTTTTGGTGATTAACTATGTGTGGGTACAAATATATAAACATATATGCATATATATGCGCATTATATGAGCACACTGCACTTAATTTTGCCAGTTCAGTCATCTGTGCAATGTTATCTATTGATTCTGCTCCTAAAAAAGGATTACGGGGGTCGCCTGGGGGGCTCTGTCAGTTAAACATCTGCCTTCGGCTCAAGGCGTGACCCCGGGATCCTGGGATCGAGTCCCACATCGGGCTCCCTGCATGGAGCCTGCTTCTCCCTCTGCCTGGGTCTCTGCCTCTCTCTCTGTCTCTTTCTCTCTCTCTGTCTCTGTCTCATGGATAAATAAATAAAATCTTTAAAAAACAAAAACAACAACAAAAAACCAGTGAATATATTCAATTAACATGACCTGCAAACGTAGATCTCTGTCTAGAAAATCCGGAGAGAATCAACTTAAGATTCAGAAAAGAAGCCAGTTACTAAATGAAGTCACAAAATCAAGAGACTTCTTACATATCTCAGAACATAATCATTTAGAAAGTACAATGGAAACAAAAGACGCCACGGAAAAACATCTCACTCATAGTAACAACAACCCAAAATAACTAAGAATTAACTTTAAAAGAAATGTGTGGATATGAAATATCCAGAATAGGCACATCCATAGGGATAAAAAGTGGATTCGTGGCTGCCAGGCGCTGGGAGGTGTGGGGAGGGAGTCACAGCTAATAGGGACAGGTTTTTTTTTTTTTTGTTTTTTTTGTTTTTTTTTTTTAGGGTGATGGAATGTTCTGAAATTTGATGGTGATGGTTGCACAGCTGCGCATTGTACCAACGACCACTGAATTGTGTACTTTAAAATGGCAATTTTTACATAATGTCACATATATCCATTTCAAAAATTCTATGAAGAAAAAAGAAAAGGAAGTGCAGTGTGCAGAGCTGCGACACGTGCTGGAAATGACAAAGGGATGGGCGTGGTTGGAGTAAATGGACAGGAGAGGAGAGGTGCGTGAGGCCACAGGGGGCATGTTCCAGAGTGAACCCGGGCCCATGGTGTTTTGCAAATTTACTCTTTTCCACTAAAATCATCAAAGCAAAATTTATTTATTTATTTATTTTTAAAGTAATCCTGAAGTTCATCTGGACTATGACTTAGAAAATAGACCAGAAAATATTAAAAAACAATAATAGTGAAGAATTGATATTGCCGGACGTTGTAAGTACTCTAACTTTATAATGTCCATTAAAAGTGCAGTGGGAGGAGCGAAGTGCTAGGAAATCCAGACACGGAGCACCGCGGGAGTAAGTAACGTCTGTGTCTCTGATCTGTGTGGACGGTCACCCTGTGCGGGAATAGGGGGTTCCTTGTTATTTAAAAAAAATTGTGGGGGACCCGGGTGGCACAGTGGGTTGAGCGTTCAACTCTTGGTTTCAGCTCAGGTCATGATCTCAGGGTCGTGAGACTGAGCCCCGTGTCAGCTCCGTGTGCAGTGGGGAGTCTCCTCTCTCTCTCTGCCCCTCCTGGAGGTGCTCCCCCGTCTCTAAGAAATAAATAAAATAGGGGATCCCTGGGTGGCGCAGTGGTTTGGCGCCTGCCTTTGGCCCAGGGCGCGATCCTGGAGACCCGGGATCGAATCCCGCATCGGGCTCCCGGTGCATGGAGCCTGCTTCTCCCTCTGCCTGTGTCTCTGCCTCTCTCTCTCTCTGTATGACTATCGTAAATTAAAAAAAAAAAATTAAAAAAAAAGAAATAAATAAAACTAAACTAAACTGTGAAACTTATCTAGTGTTTAATCTTAAAAAAAGAAGAAAAAAGTATAGAGAACCAGAGGAAAACAGAGATGATGAATATTTACATAAAGGTTTTCCCAGCCCAAGTCTGTAAGCTTGTCACCAAGGCTAAAAAAACATTAAGGAAAATAATTACCAAAACTGAAAGCTCCAAAAAAGCAGAAAAAGTATGCTGAAATAACCATAAGCAATCTTAAAGATAAACAAGAAACCAGGAGAAATTTGTGTAACACATGACAGATTATATATAAAAAAGCTTTTATAAACAAGCATATTAAAAAGTCTAGGGGACACCTGGGTGCCTCAGTGGTTGAGCATCTGCCTTTGGCTCAGGGCGTGACCCTAGGGTACTGGGATCTAGTCCCGCATCGGGCTCCCCAGAGGGAGCCTCCTTCTCCCTCTGCCTGTGTCTCTGACTCTGTGTCTCCCATGAATAAACAAATAAAATTTTACCAAAAAAAATCGTAAAGCTCAATATGTAAAGAGTTTTTATAAATCAATAAGAAGAGACGACTTCCCAATGGAAAAATGGACAAAAGATATAAATTGGGAATATCAATGGTCAAGATGCAGTGAGGACGTTTTCCTATCAAATAGGTAAATGTCACATGGCCTAACATCCAGCGTTGGGAGGGGGACATAAGGAAACAGGATCCATGAAATGTGCTGATGGAAGCGTACGTTGGTGCCCCTTACTGCAGGCTACGTCACAACTCATCAAAACGCCCCATGACGTGCTGCCTCTGACACGGACGCCAACCCTGGCATTTTACCTATAACCAGAATCGGGGATACTTGTAAAGATTCGACTAGAGGAGAATGTATTGTCACTGATGAGTCCTGGGGACCCAAACGGTGCAGGACTCTGCGTGGAGGGAGGTGTGCATGGGCTTGTGCACACCGCCCGGCTCCTGCAGGCCCCACTGCCCCCCCTCGGTGGCCCCACGCGGCCCCTCCACTCGGGGGTCCGGCGGGAACCAGTATCACAGTCGGACTTAGCCGATGGTTCTTACGATTCGGCCCGTTGGCGCCTTGACTCTGCTTCCGGCAGCAGCTGCTGAGAACAGCAACGGGGGCTGGCGACGCTGCCCGGGGCCTGGGTGCCCAAGGGGCTGGGGGCGTCCCCTGCCCCTGGTGGCTCGGGGTGCAGGCCAGCGTGGGTCTAGGGATGATGCGGCCCCCGGGGGGAAGCTTCCAGCAACAGGGGCTCCTGAGGGGGGACGGCCTCGGCCCGCGGCTCCGTCCCCTGTGGCAGGGCCGCCTGCTGTGTCACGTCTGTGGAAGGGTATGGATTGGTGCCGCGGGGATGACAGCCCCTCGCCGCCGGCTTGTCCAAGCAAGGCCGCCGACACCTGTCCTCCATCACCCTCCCGGCTGCGCAGGTTCTGGGGTGACCTGCCCTGTGAGGGCGAGTGACTCCGGGTGCGGACGGAGGAGCCCTTGGGAGCTGGCCTCCCCGACTTGATTCCCAGGGGCCCAGGGCAAGGGGTGCCAGGCGTCCCGTGCACAGAATGGGGGTCGGAGCCTCCCGGGGCCACAGGCAGGTCACCACCAACTCGGGGCTTAAACTGCTCACACTGATGCTCTCATGGTTCTGGGCTCAGTCCTAGAACCCAGGTGTGGGCAGGATTGGTCACCCCCCACCCCGGGCCCCAGGGAGACCCCCTCCTGCCCCCACACCTTCCAGAGGTGGCCCCTCCCCGGCCCGCAGCCCCTCCTCCGTCCTCACTGCCAGCAGCGCAGGGTCTGCCCACCTCTGGGGCTCCCCCCACAGCCTCCCTCTTGGGGGGACCTGGTGAGGACGTCAGCCCCCCCAGGAACCCAGAGTCACCCCCACGACGGGGTCTCGGACGAGGTCTCCTCTGCCACGTGAGCCCACAGGTCCCAGGTCCCAGGGGAACAGGATGGGGATGTGTTTGGGGGGAAATTACAATTAGCAACAGCTCCCGAATTCTTAGTGGGTTCTGGAAATTGTGGTGCATTTGCAAAATCAGCGGGGAAGGCAACAATGGCCCAGGAGGAGGTCTTGCCAAATAGCCTGGTGGCGGGGAAGCGGCTCCTTCCCACGGGACGGCGCGCCCTCTAGGGGTGACAGCCAGCGCGGCCCGCTCCTGCCCCACCTGCTCCCACTCCCCCCCCCCCCCCCCCGGGGCGCGATTGGCACGGAGAAGGGGCTCTGGGCCAGGGCTGGCTGGCGGCGGCCCAGCCGGTTTGCCCTCCCGATCTGTCCTGCACAGGGACCACGGTTTTCTGGCTCCTGCGTGGGGCGCACAGCAAGACGCAGTGAGAATCCTGTTGAAGGGCCCGGAAAGCCCCAGACGCAACCGGCGGGCCGGGGAGCAGGTGCCGTCCTCACGTTCTCAGCCTGTTTTCCAGGAACCTACATCCCACAGCCCAGCCTGACCCCCCCGGAATCCTCATCGCACGATACTCTGTGCATCGGCTCAGCCACGCGGGGGCACTCGGATGGGCCCCCAGGCCTCAGCATGGGGACAAGGGCTCCCAGGTGACGATGACAGTGACGTGGCCAACACCAGGCCTCGGGCAAGGAGACAGACATGACGACCAGCAGCCCCAGGTACAAAGGCGGCAATTTATTCTGATGCTCGCGCGGGAACACCCGTGGGCAGGGAGGGTGGGGAGAGTCCCCGCCACCTTCCCCGACCCGCTGGGCCGCGGGGACAGCCTGCAGCCCCGGGACACAGTGGTTGCGGTGCTCGGCCGAGGTTCTGCATTGACTACATTCAATCAGACGGTCATCTCGGGTCCTGGGGGGGCTGCCTCGCTGGGCCTCCTCCAGCTGGACCCGGGGCTTTCTAGAAGGACCGAGGCCAAGGTCACGTTAATTGCACTTGCTTGGTGTTGGGTGATGGCACCCTCGCCCCTGCGAGCGTCCCACGCACCCAGAGGTACTCGGAGCCGGTGCAGTCCAGACTGGAAGGGCTGCCTCGGCAAAAGGCCACTGAGGACGCTGCGTGCGGGCGGGGAGGAGGCACGGGCAGGACGGGGCTCCTGTGGTCACTTCCGTGCGGCCCCAGGCAGAGCCCTGGCCACCGCCCCAGTGTCCACGGGAGACGGTGCTGGGGCTGGGGTCCCGTCCCCACACAGGGCCACGCAAACACACGGCTTCCACATCACGTTGTCAGGCATCTGCAGGAAGGCTGACTCCAGCTAAATATTTGGCAAAATTGTAAAGACTGCAGCCTGGGAGAGGGTCCGACAGGAGAGTCACCCCGTGTATTCAGGAGGGGGAGGGGGGCTCACAGGGAGAAAACCCCAATCGTTCATGATCCATGACGGGGCTCAGGGAAGCTGGGGAGCAGGTGCGAGGTCGTTGTGGGCGTCGCAAAGCAGACACAGGGTCACCGGCTGCATGTGGCGGCCAGTCCAGTGGGTCCACGGGGCAAGTGCAAGTGGTTCACAAAGTGGGTTCTCCCAGGAGCTCCACACATAGAACCATGGAGTTCAAGTTCGATGCCTGCCAAGGAGTCAGGCTCAGGGTGGCTGCGTGCAGACCCACGGCGCCGAGCTCGCTCACTGTCGGGGCTTTCTAGAAAGTATGGGTCCATGTTCCAGAGACACGGCCCTCAAGCGTGTCTCCTGGGCAGTGCCTCAGTGACCACGGGGCCGAGGGGCTCTCAGTGGCACATCCGCGCGGTCATCTCTTTCTGTTAACAACAAGCAGGACGTCACGTCACCCTGATACAACCTTTACACCCGGGGACAGCAGCCGCGGGAGTCTGTCCCAACAGACGAACGACAAATGCAAAAAATCTAGGTGTGAAGGCTTCCTGCCACGTTCTTTTCTTTTCTCTTAAAGATTTTACTTATTTATTCCTGAGACCCAGAGACAGGCAGAGACACAGGCAGAGGGAGAAGCAGGCTCCGTGCGGGGAGCCCGATGCGGGACTCGATCCCGGGACCCCAGGATCACGCCCTGGGCTGAAGGCAGGCGCTCAACCACTGAGCCGCCCAGGCGCCCCTCCCGCCACGTTGTACAGGACAGACCCCGGAAGCCGCCGGGCTCAGGGGCAGCGGGCAGATCACCACCCGCTTCGTTTACACATGGCCTGGGGGGGTCATGGCTCCAGCGCATTTCTTCTGCCTCCGCCTGGGGAAGGAACTCAGCATCGGGCGCCTGCTGGCTCCGTGGGCTGAGCACCTGCCTTCAGCTCAGGTCACCGTCCTGGGGCCCTGGGATCGAGCCCAATGCCGGGACCCCTGTCACGGGGGAGTCTGCTTCCCCGTCTGGCCCTCCCCTCGGCTCCTGTACGTGCTCACTCTCTCTTTCTTAAATAAACAAACTCTTAAAAAGAAAAAAAAAAAAGAACTCTGAGCATCGATGTGGGAGAAATAACAAGGAATCAGGATGCTTATTAAGAAAAGAAAACCTGGGGGATCCCTGGGTGGCGCAGCGGTTTGGCGCCTGCCTTTGGCCCAGGGCGCGATCCTGGAGACCCGCGATCGAATCCCACGTCAGGCTCCCGGTGTATGGAGCCTGCTTCTCCCTCTGCCTGTGTCTCTGCCTCTCTCTCTCTCTGTATGACTATTGTAAATAAATAAATAAAAAAAAAAGAAAAGAAAAGAAAAGAAAAGAAAAGAAAAGAAAAGAAAAGAAAAGAAAACCAGGGAGCCCGGGTGGCTCAGCAGTTTGGCGCCACCTTCAGCCCAGGGCGTGATCCTGGAGACCCAAGATCCCGCGTTGGGCTCCCTGCATGGAGCCTGCTTCTCCCTCGGCCTGTGTCTCTGCCTCTCTCTCTCTCTCTCTCTCTCTCTCTCTCTCTCTCTCCCCTCTGTGTATTCTAATGAATAAATAAATAAAATCTTAGAAAAAAAAAAAAACAAGCTGAGAGAGACCCAGCAGGCTCTCGGAACATTGTAGCATTTCCATGCTTGGGGAGATGCCCTATCCCCTGGAACGACCCTGGGACCTCACCTGGGGGGATGTTCTTGACCTTGGGGAACAGTGGCAGCAGCTGGTGGGAACTTGGAGGGCAGCTGCCTGCCGCCCTCTGACCTCACAGGTCTGGCTAAAAGCCCAAAGCAAGGTGCGGGAGCCTTGGGGGAGGGGCCCAGCGAGCCACCCTTGCTGCCTGAGCCGTCCCGTCACCAGGCTGCGGTGGACACGGGTCTAGCTGGCAAATCCACAGCCACAGAGCGGGTTGCCACAGGCTGGGAAAGTGCCTCTGATGGGGATGGGGCTTCTTCTGGGGCGACGGAATGTTCTGGAACCAGAGGTGATGGCTGTAGCCCCTTGTGAATGTACTAAATGCCATTGAACTGTTCAGTTGACAATTTTAACTTAGGTGACTTTTTTTTTTTTTTTACTTATGTGACTTTCACCTCAGTTAGAAACACATCATTGCCTGCTCTCCAGGCAGGAGGCGGGGACGTGGGCAGGGGAGACGGGGCTGCCCAGGGTCAGCACCCAGGCCCCCAGGGTCTCCCGCAGGGAAAGGGGGTGCAGCTGCAGGAAGGAGCAGCCGACTCTGGGGCCCGTCCTGGGATGGCTCTGGGCTATGGGGCGGGGTGACCTTCCTAGGGGGCCCCGAGGGCACAGCAGCCCTAGGATTCAGGGCCTCTGCCTGTCAGGGGTTGGGGGGGACGGGTGGTTCACACACGCAGCCGCATCCCCGCGGAGTAGGGAGCAAAAGCACCAGACACAAGCCCGGTGGGTGGATCCCGTGTGCCGGAATCCAAGTGGCCACACCACTGTCGCCGTGTCACAAACTTGGGCCCAGACCCAAAGAACCTGCCTCCGCTTCCCTTTCTCCATGTCAGGCTACCCACCAAGCCGGGTATCCGGGCCCTGGGGACCCCCATGTCCCCCGCCGCCCCCGCCGGATGCCTGCCCTGCTCACCAGTGGCTCCAGCTCTTTGGTGTCGATGAGGCCAAACTCCTTGACGAAGTAGTAGAAGTGCTTGTAGCAGGTGTTGACGTGCGCCTCGGAGCCCATCTGCGCGATGCGGTCAAAGTGGTGGATGTAGACGTGCACGAAGACGCGGAACAGCCGGGACAGGATCTTCTTCACCACCTGCAGGAAGTTCTTGGGGAACGGCGTGCCTGCACACAGGGCGGGGGTCAGGGAGGCTGCGGCCCCCCCGGGCCCCACTGCCCCCCCCCGGGTTCTGGGCTGTGCGCTTCTATTCCTAGCTCTGCTTGCTCTTCTTAATTGAACGGGACGACCCACAAAAACATGTTTCCTGACGTCTGATACTCCTCACGCGGGGTCTGCCCGCCTCAAGTGCATCTTCACAGCATCATCTACGTTCGAGCATCGACGCAGCTTCGCTGTGCACGTGTACGTGTGCTCACTCCTGCCATGGAGCTTAAGGAGTGTCTTCCTCACTTCCCTTCCTTGTGGTCAAACGCCCCGACCAGGGGAGCCCCCGTGCCAGCCCCTCTGGCAGCCTGTGTGTCAGGCGCCCCCATGCTCCTTTCTGCACCCCCTCAATCCCTCAATCATGTGACTTCGTCCTATATAGACAGGGTGCAGTCGGCACCACCGGGTGGGTGCCCGGGACCGGAAAGAACACACTGGCCCCATCGTGACTTGGGGGCTGGGGGGCTCATGGGCTAACAGCCCAGGGGCAGCACACGCGATCTGGACAACAGTGTGCTCATCAGGGCGCACGGGGACGTCCACCCCCCACAGTGGGGCCCAGGTGGCTGCTCTCCACTGGGGGAGGTCTGACCTGACGTGTGTGGAACAGAAGGCGAGCGGGAAGGCGACGGTGCTCCGTGAGCTGTGAGACAGGCCCAGCCTGACCCTGTGCCCTCTCGTGCCCCCCGCCCACCCCTTCCTCCGTAGCTGGGCCCAGATGGCCGCTCCGCCCTAGCAGGGGTGCCTGTGTGCAGCTCGTGCTGACAAGCATCTGTGAAGGGCGACCAGGTCCAGTTCCCAGGCCACGAACCCCCTGGACGGTTTGTCCGGCATCACTGAGAGCTGTTTTCCCCGCCACTCAATTCTGCAAGGATGAACCCTGATGGTCGTCCTCGACCCACATTTGTGGGCACCCGAGGAGCAGCTGCTGAAGGCCGTGGGGTGGGCCAGCCACCTCCAGGGGCCCTGGTCCAAGGCCACCGCCCTGCACCTCTCTCCTAGCACAGGACTCCCCGGCGGCGATCCCGGGTAGCCTGGCTTGGATGGGCTCAGAGTAGACTGTTCCAGGACGCCACTGCACACGCTCACAGTGGTCTCTTGTGCAGGGGTACAAACCTGGCCCCCCACTTGCTCTTATAAATAAAGTTTACCTGGAACACAGAGCCCTGTTTGTAAATTGCTTCTGGTGGCTTTTGGTCTACACTGCAGATCTGAGTGGTTAAGACAGACTGTCTGGCCTGTGAGGCTGGAAAGATTTGCCAGCTGGTCCCCATGAGAAGAGTGAGAAGTGTGCCAGCCGCTGGCCTGACACGACGAGGTCTAAGGGGTGTACAGGCGGGAGCAGAAGCAACACGGGAGCTGCACTGAACGTGGACCCGTTCTCTCTGCCCGGCCACACGGTTCTTGGCAGTGGCACAGACAAGAAGCGGAGAGACACGGTTGTCTGTCGGAAGCACGTCGTTCTGAATGCCTGGCTGGGGTCCTGAAACAGGGCTGGCAGGGGTGGCCCAGGCCAGGCAGGCCCCCGACACGGGCGCCTGGGGAACAAGCGCTGCGCGAGGCCGGCAGCCTGGACTCAGAGTCCCGCTGCACAGCCGTGTGCCACCTGCCAGTTCCTCTTCTCTGCCTCTCCCCAGCATCCTCTTTGGTAAACTTGGAATTCACCTTCCCCGGGTGCGGGGCAGGCTGGGCATCTCGAGTTCTAGGGTGCCGACCCCCGAGGACCCGGTGGGACTCGCACGGGGCCTAGCAAGGCTGGGAATCAAATGACACAGCCTCCGGGGCTCCCCATGGACCCGGCGACCTGAAGTAGGGACTGTTGGGAATCCCGGGCCGGGGGTGGCCTCTCCCTGGATAGTCCCTGGAAAGCCTCTGCCAGCGTCAGCCCTTCCGCGGTGCAGATGCTGAGTGAGGGCCCAGGGGAGGAACGAGCGGGTGCAGAGCTAGGCCTGAGACCTGTCTGCCCAGCCGGGGTTCAGGGGTGCCATGTCAGTGCTGATGGTGACAGAAAGCCACGGCTGTGGGCGGCTCCTGGTGCCACTGTCACAAACCACCACCGGCTGAGCGGCTTAAAGAACTCACGTGCATCTCTCACGGTTTCCAGTCAGTGTCACTGGGCTGAGGCTGAGGCACCGCAGGACGGTTCCCACCAGAGGCGCCAGGGGGAACCCGTGCCCCTGCTGCCCTGGGAAGCTGCCGGCATTCCTAAGCTCATGGCCCATCCTTCCTTCCCCACTGTCCTACCACCTTCTCCCCTCGCGTGTCCAACCTCCCTCTGTCTTCCTCTTACAAGGACCCTTTGATGACATCCAGAGTCATCTCCTGTCTCAGGGCCCTTAACCTAAAGAAGAATGTGTCCACCACACGTGAGCACATCCCTCGCCTTTGAGCAGGAGCAAGGTGCCCACACACGCTGGCCCGGGGATGGACCCCGAGCCCACGATGCTCAGGGAGGGCGCCAGACCCAGAAGGACGCCTCCTGCAGGACCCCACTCCCAGGAGGTCCCCAGAAGAGGCCCATCCACAGAGACAGAGGAGATGGTGGGAGCCAAGGGTGGGGTGGGGGGCGGGGATGATGGCTGATGGGGATGCTATTGGGGTGGTGGAATGTTCTGGAACTAGCAGTGATGGTCTGCACAACTCTGCGAACATATTATAAATGCCACTGAACTGTACACTTTAAATGGGTAGACGGCGGGCATGTGAATCCTGGCTCGACGTGAGAGCGAGTGGGGCCTGCCCTTCCCGGTGCCCACGTGGCCCGCCCCGGCCACTCCGACTCACCGACGTGGGTGGGGAAGAGCTCCTCGTTGTTGATCTGCACCTCGATCCAGTCCATGAGCAGGTCCATGTAGCGGGGGGCCGAGAGCGCCGTGGGCTTGCGGAACTGGTGCTCGTCCTGCCAGCGGTACTCGTACTTGGGGCCGCCCGACATGATCGGGCAGGACTGCTCCGTGCACCCGTCGCCGATGGTGCCGTAGATGAGGTTGACGCGGTTGAAGAAGTCCACCACGTGCACGGCCACCCAGTCGTTGAGGTCCTCGCCCGGGGGCAGCTGCACGGCCAGCTTCAGGTCCAGCCCGGCATTCAGCGACGCCTGTGCCTTCTTGTGTAGCTCGAAGCGCTGGGTGCCCGGCTCAAACTTGCGCTTGGGGCGGAAGGTCTTGTCCTTGTTGAAAACTTGCTTCAGGAAGGGGTTGGACATCTCGGCCCCCTTCCCTGGCGATGCCTCTGTGGAGGGGCCCAGGCAGGACGACCGTGTCAGGCAGGCGCTGCAGCGATGGGAGACTTGCTGGACCCCACGGCTTCCCGGAGACCTGGAACACGGAAAGGGGAGGAACCGTCACCTGCTTCTGGAAACCCTGCTCTGTAAGGACTAGGAGGCGGATCGGGGGCTCCCAGGACTTGTGACGTTCAGTCCACCAAGGGGGCCCCAGTTGCTCCACAGACAAAATGGTCCGTGGCAGGTCCCCACTGCCTCAGACCAGAAGATGCAGAGACAGCTCCCAACAGGCCGGAGCCGGTGGATCCTCCCCACGCCCGGAGGCGTTCTCGCACAGCAGCAGGGGCTGGAGATCCGCAGACACCAAGGGAGAGCGCGGCGGGTCAGCGGCGCCCTCCGTGGACAGTCGTCTATGTCCCTGCGGCCTGCAGACGGGACCTCATTTGGAAGAAGGTCTGTGCGGACACGATCAGGGATCTCGGGCTGCGTGCCTCCTAGATCACACAGGTGTCCCTGGTGCGATGACAACCGTCCTTATAAAAGGAGACACAGGCGCATGGCAGACAGCTGCACGAGGGTGGAGGCGCCAGGGGGGCCGGCACTGCCAGAGCCAGGCGCAAGCCCGGAGCACTGTCCCCACGGCCTCCGAAGGGCCCAGTCCTGCCCACAGCCTGGCCGGGGGTCTGGCCTCCAGAGTTGGGAAAGGAGAATTTCTGTGTTTCTGCATTGCACCCTAATCTCCCCGCTGCACCGGGGCCCACCCTCATCTCGCCACCCGAGGATGTGTGCAGAGCCCCCATTCCCGACGGGTGGACTGGAATTCTAGGGGGACACTCTCCACTGCAGGGCCCATTCCAGAAGCCTGGACAAGCCCATCTGCTCGTGTTGTCTGACCAACACGGGACCACGACGGACGCCCACCCTCACTGGTTTCCCTGGGACGAGGTCCTGCCGCGAGAGCCCACCCCCCGCCCCTCCCTCCGCCGTCTCTCTGAGCTGGGTCCTCCTCTGTTCCGTGGGGACAGTACCCGGCTCACGTCAGAGAGCGTGAAGGATGAGGTGGGGCGCATGAAGTGGTGGCTGGGCTCATGCTGGGGATGCAGCCACCCTGCCGGGCCGGGTGTGCTCCCCACCCTGCCACGGTGGTGCCGCCCCCCGCCCCGCTCCCGGAAGTGTGCGGTGCACTGGGACGGCGGGGGCCGGGGTTAGGGGGGCCGGATGCCCCAGGGGCTGGCGGGGTGGGGGTCTTGGGAGTTCACCGGGGGGAAGGTGCAGAAGGGGAAGTGTGTGGAGAGTAGGAAAGAGGAAGGGCCCACCCGTGGCCCCACGCCACATCGTGCACCTGCACACGTGCAACCATGTACGTTAGTCAGTGCCCACCCCGCTTCTCTGCTTAAACGGTGGGGTTCATTCCTCTAACTCGGGCCTGGCGGGTAGTGCCCCTCCAGACCCAGCACGGTGCCGGTGCCGGTGCCGCAGCAAATTACCGCAGACCCAGAGCTCCTACCAGCCCAGCTGTAGTATCAGAAAGTTCCGGAGGCTCCACATCTGAAATGGGACTCCCGGGGGCTCCTGCCTCTCCGAGTCCAGAGGAGGCCCTGCACCCTCCAACCTCTGCTTCCCTCATCACACCTGCTTCTGTGGGGACGCCCCTTACCGCCCAGAACCAGGGCGGCCCCGCAGAGAGCGCCGGCTCGACGCCGGTCCTGCTGAGGGAAGAGCATGAGAGCCCGGGCGCTGCCAGGCCAGGTCCAGGGACCCCAGGCCCAGACTCCTACGGGGCCCGGTGAGCGCCCGCAGTGGCCCCGGGGCAAAGACGACGGGCTGACGACAGGTGCCCTGCTCCCAGCAAATGGGCAGTAGGAGCTTCGCTGGGACACCCGCAGGCGCCGCCCCGAGAAGACACCCTGAGAGCCCGCGCTGCTGGCGGGGAGGACGGAGGGGGGCTGCGGGCCGGGGAGGCAGTGCCTGTGGACGCGGGACAAGGCCGGGCAGGTCTTCCTGGGGCCCCGGGGGGACCAGCCCCGTCCACGGCATTTTGAACTTGTGACCTCCAGAACCGCGGGATAACAGATCTGGGTTCCTTTAGGGCCATGGAACTTGTGGTCACTGGTTACAGCAGCCCCAGGAAACTGAGGAGCCAGTTGTCACTGGCTACGCACGACCGCCTGATGAGCAGCGACGTCAGCCAGGCCCGGTTACTCGTGGGCCGGGGTGTCCCCTTCTCTGCGCCGAGCGGCCAAGCCCGCCTGAGCAGCCTGAACCACAGGGACCCCGAAGGTGAGCCCGGGGACGGAGGCGCGGCCAAGGACAACAGGAGCCCCGGGGAAGGCGAGGGAACCACCGCCCCCCGGGAATGGCTGTAAGCACCGAGGACAATCGCCGGCGCTGGTGAGGACGTGCAGAAATCGGAAACGGGGAGCACGGCTGTTGCGGGGAACAGCCCAGGGTCAGGCGGAGCTACCCCAGGGCCACCCCGAAGGCGACGGCGAACATCCACACGGAGACTCGTGCACACACGGTGGCAGCGGCACAACTCACGTTCTCACCAAAGGCTGGAGACGACCCCCACGTCCCGCAACGGGTGAACACACGAACAGGCCTTGTCGGCCACGTGAGCAGGGGTGAGGCCCCCCCTACGCCGCCCCGGGGACGGACCCGAGCCCCCGACGCTCAGGGAGGGAACAGGAGTCCCCATGGGTGTGAGTCCACGTGTGTGACACGTCTTGGACGGGCTTGTCCACAGGCGGGGGGGGGGGGTGGCGGGAGGGGAGTGACGGCTGACGGGGATGGGCTCCCCCGGAGTGACAGGATGGCATGGAGGCAGACGGCGGCGGTGGTTGTGCAAGGCTGGGGACGTCCTGAAAATGGAGCTGTGTGTGTCAGTGAGTGGGCTGCGGGCTACGTGGGTCTTGTCTAACGGGGCTGTGACTACGCGGTGGGCAAAGGGGCGGGAGAAGAGCCTCCCTCCCGGGCCTAAGTGACACACTCTGGGCCCAAGCCGCTGCCACCCCTGCTCACTGGGCCCATGACGGGGAAGGCGTGGGCGCGGGTGGCAGAGGAAGCACCCCGTGAGGACCAGCGGGGCGGCTCCCGGCAGCCCCAGCTCCGGAGCAGGAGGACGCGGGCCTGTCAGCAGAGCGTGGGGGCCTCCCTCCCCACGGCTGGCTCTGGCCGCCGCCACCACGTCCTGCCACCTCAGCTGACCCCTGACAGGCACTTCCCGGGACCCTTGGAGGAACGCGGCAGACACACTTCACGGGAGGGAGGATGGGCCCCTACTGGCTCGGCCCCCTGGGCCCTGCGGACATGGGGGGGGTCGCCCCGGCTGAGACCCCGTATGGAAGATAGTGACTCAGCGCTACCCCGCTGAGGAGGAGTTAAGTGGCGGGGACAGGGACGAGCCAGAGCGGGAACCTGGGCGCGTGGGTGAAGCCAGCCTCCTCTGCCAGGCCACACCCGGCGCAGTGAACCACCTGCCCATCACGCAGGCGTCCGTCGCCGCCCCCAGGCCAGCGTCAGGCGCTGTCCGCTGCCCCCCCCCCCCCCGCACCTCCGCACGGCCTCTACAGAACTGCACGGGTGCCTCAGGTCCAGGGCCCCGGGCCGCCTACCCTCCCTGGTGTCGGTGGATGGGCACAGCCCGGGGCACCCAGAGCCCCACGGCGGGAAGGTGGCGCCTGAGAGCGCAGGGCAGTGGCCCAGGACCAGGACCCCTCACACCGCGGCGGCTGTGCTGGGCAGGCCGGCGGTGATCCCCGGGGCCCCCTGAGACCAATAAGGCCCAAGGGGCCTGCATACCTGTCCCGGAGGTTAACCTGCAAACCTGGCCACGCTTAGGCCACTCTGGCGCAGGTAAAGGGCCAGCGTCCTCCACTGGGAGGGCAAGTCACCTCTGCTCCAGCCGCCTGACAGCAGGGCTTGGCCACTTCCCCATCCCAGGGCTTACTTCAACCTGCAAACACCCTCCGCCTGAGAGACGAGGTGGGGGTTGCGTCCCTGTCCAGCCGCTCCTGCGCATCGACTCGCTTCCGGGCCCCTTATGTAACCCCAAGCTGAGCCGCACCCTGACAGCCGCCGCGGACGGGGGAAAGTGCCACCCACCAGTGCCCGCTGGGGCCTCTCGTCCTGGGGCCTGTCGGACATGGCTCCGGGGCCTCAGCCGCAACCACAGCACCTGGGGACCTGAGACTGGAGGGCAGAAGCAGGCTTGGGGGGGGGTGTCTCCGTGCGGGGACCAGACGCGCCCCAGGGCAGTTCTGGAAGTTGGGCCCAGGCAAGGGGGGGGGGCGGCTCACAGGGCTCCTGCCCTTGGTCTCTTCTCAGAAAGTGCAGGTTTTTTTAAGCGAAGCAACCATTTTCTAGGAAACTTCCCCGATGTCCAGAATCCCCCTCAGGAGCAGGTTTCTATGGGACGCAGACACCCCGCGGCCTGGAGGTGACCCCACATTGCCAGCCCCATCCTGGTTACCGGCTCTTCCCGGGCGCCGTCCTCGGTGGGACAGGCCTGTTGGGGCTCAGGGCTCTGCTGATGGCCAGGTTCTTCCCTCGGACATGTGCCCGGCGGTACTTAGAAACTTCTAGACTGATGAAGATGACAAATTCCCCGGCTCCAACACACGCCCTCTGCCCCCCCCCTTTTTCTTCTGAAAACCAAACAAAGCACAGTTCCTCCAGGCAGCTGCCTTGCATGACCTCCCGGGGAGGCGCTGCCACTTCCTTCCGGTGCCTCTGCATCCTGTCTTGGCCACTGACGCACCCCGCACCCCCCACTACGGGGACCCTGCCCTGGGGCCGGGGGAACGGGAGGGGACAGGCCCCAAGCTCAGAGGCCGGCCCCTGGGCACGGTGGGTGGGAGGATGCTCTGGGGCCCCGATCTGTCCCGTCCCAGAAGGCCGCCCCCCATAGCTGCGGTTTAAATGTCAGCCCTGCTCCCCGGGGGGAAGTCCCCCCGCCGTCCTGCAGGACCACAGAGGGTGCCGCCTGCCGCCCCGCCAGGGGGGTGGTGCTCTACTGGCATTAGGCCCTCATGTCTTTGCTTCCGGGCTCAAGTTCCCCAATCTGTGATGCAGGAAGGCAGGAAGCGGTTTGCTGAGACCACTGCAGGCCAGGTGCTCTCAAGGGGTCCTACGCGGTCCCGCCCTCCTGCGGATCCTCTTATTTTATGACCCGCTGTGATACAATTCATGTACCACAAATAACTTTTAAAGTGTACAATTTGATGGTTTTAGTAAAATCATAGGGCAGTGCAACCATCACCATAATTCTAGAACATTCTCCTACCTCCAAAGAAACCCTGTGCCCATCAGCAGTGACTCCCCATCCTTCTCTCATGGGTTGAATCCTGTCTCAGGGGTGGGGGTGGGGGACAGAAGGCAGATGAAAGGCGGCAAGCCACCAGGGCCGCCCCCGTCGGCTGAGGAGCCGCCGCACCTCTTCGGGGGCCTGGCCTGGGGTCTCGCATGTCTCAAGGGGCAGGGCAGGAGCAGCAGAGCCTATGCCAGTGACTAACATCAGGACACCCGGGACACGCATTCGCCGCTGAGAAGACCCTGGTCTGAGGGGACACAGCACGTCCACTCCCGGCCACCCTCTGTCCAGGGTGCTGCGCCCGCCACTCTGCCCCCGGGGACGCTGGGCCACGTATGGGGACCCCCAGGGTACTCCAGGCATCAAGCGTTCAGCTCCCACAGCCCTAATGACCCCCTCCCCGCAGAGACAGACCCCACCACGCACGCCTTGTTCTGGTCTCAGGAGACGCAGCAACGCCCACCTCCTTCCCAGAACCTGGATTCTGAAGCTGCTGTTGCCTCTTTTCGGCTTAAGCAGTCTGAACCTCGAAATTCTAGGAAATGAGGAACAGGGCTCTCCAGCTGGGGCATGTCTTGAACTTCCCCGAGAAAAAGCCCAGGCTCTGAGCCGGCTGCTCGGGGAATTTCTGCTAAAGCTCCGTTTGATGAGGCGCTAGAGAAGGGAGAGCAGCTCCCGGAAACCCGATCGATGGCTGACGCCTGTCCTGGCTGCGCGGCGTTGGTACACACGGAACAAACAGACTGAAAATCGTTCGGAAAAAAAAAAAGTCCAGGAACTGAACTAGCATTTCTGAGGCCTCCCTGAGGAACTAAAATAACCACTTTTGCTTCTGCCGAGAGAGAGAGAGAGAGAGAGAGAGAGAGAGAGAGAGAGAGAGAGAGAGAGACACGGAGGTTCACCTAGAACTCAACTCCCGGTTACATGGGTGCCGGGTTCGCAAACACCGCACTCAGCTTTTTGAGCGACGTAAGGGTGATACGGCCGTGCTCTCCCTTCAGAGAGGTTCAAATAAAACCCCTGAGCCAGACACAGACATGGAGGGGATGCCACACACCCCATGGCTCCAGGTCTAGGACCTTCTGGAAAAGGCAGAGCCGTGGAGGTGGTGACAGGGCCCACAGTGGCTGGGGAGGGGGGGTGTTTCGGTGGAGCAGGGGATCTGTAGGGCTGGGGCCTCCTCTGAGCCACGCGGTGACGGTGGCTCGGTGTCTGTGACATTCATGCAAATCCACAGGGCGTGCAGCAGTGACGGTGAACCCCGGTCACCTGCGGGCTGTGGCTGGTAATGTCCCGATATTGGTCATCACCTGTCACACATATCAGGCTCTGGCGGGGATGCTGGTAATGGGAGAGGCTGTGCATTTACGGGGAGATGGGGCCTGGGGGAACTTCCACCCCGTTTTGCGGTAAACCTAAAGTTGCTCCAAAAAATAAGCACAATTAAAAAAAAATTATAACAGCAAAAAAAAAAAAAATCATAGCCAACACCAATTCAACTACAATACACCCAGCACTGGGTTAAATCCTTGAGTAGCTTGCCCTGTTTAAGACTAAAGCCACAGAAGACAATGAATCCTGCGAAAGCAGGACATACGTTTGTGGAAGGAATGTCACAGAAAACACTAGGAATATTACCTGCACCAAAGGCATAACTTAAAATTTTCCAGTAGCCTTGCTATAAAGTGAAAAAAGTACAAAGAAACAGGTGAAGTTAACACTAATAGTGTATCGCATTTGACCGAAAAACAACAAAATGTCATTTCAACACCTCCTGGAAATTGAAATTATCACCGACGTTTTGACTTCAAAAAAAAAAAAAATGTGCTCTGTGTCTGGGACTTGGGGTGTCTGTGGCACCTGCCGGGCGCCCTGATTAGCTGAGGCGGGCTTGAAGGGCTGTAGCCACACGTGGCCAGTGGCTGAGGCCGACAGCTCCGCTCTGGAGGGGTGAGTGAGAGGGGAAGGCACACAGCAGGAGCTGGCTGTCTGCAGGGTGGGGGCAGCCAGGACGCCCACTAGCTCACCCATGGTCAGTCGATGGGTCCAGGGTGTTCTGAGAACAGAGCCCGACAGGTGACCCCAAACACCCGGGGACACAACCAGTCCTCGGCACGTCAACTGGGCAGTCGGGGAGGCTGCAGGCCCTGCCCTGAGGACCGCCAGGTATGGCCGCAGGCTCGGCTCACCCCCTAAAACAGGCGAGTAAGGGCCCTGAGCTCCGTGTGCGGAGAGCGGGGAGCAAGGAGGCCTGGCTGGGGCCGTGTGTGGGCGGCCCCAAAGTCACCGAGTGCAGGCAAGCACTGCCCCCACCCGCGGTCGCCACCCCCAGAGGACCCGGCCTCCCGCCACCCGCGGTCGCCCCCCAGGACCCGGCCTCCCCCCCCCCCCCGCCCGCGGTCGCTCCTCCGGAGGACCTCGCCTCCCGCCGCCCGCGGTCGCCCCTCCCGAGGACCCGGCCTCCCGCCGCCCCGGTCGCCCCCTGAGGACCCGGCCTCCCCCCCGCCCGCGGTCGCCCCCTGAGGACCCGGCCTCCCCCCCGCCCGCGGTCGCCCCTCCGGAGGACCTCGCCTCCCGCCGCCCGCGGTCGCCCCTCCCGAGGACCCGGCCTCCCGCCGCCCGCGGTCGCCCCACCGAGGACCCGGCCTCCCCCCCGCCCGCGGTCGCCCCTCCGGAGGACCTCGCCTCCCGCCGCCCGCGGTCGCCCCACCGAGGACCCGGTCTCCCCGCCGCCCGCGGTCGCCCCCCGAGGACCCGGCCTCCCCGCCGCCCGCGGTCGCCCCCCCCGAGGACCCGGCCTCCCCGCCGCCCACGGTCGCCCCCGAGGACTCACCTGCGGTCACGCCCCACCAGCCGGCGGCGCTCGCGGCTGTCCGGTGTCCGGCGTCCTCCGCCCGGTCCCGTCCGCCGCCGACGAGAACAGCGCGCACCGCCGGCCGCCGCCGCCCCGCCCAGGCAGAGGAACTTCCGCCACCGGCCGGGGCCTCCCCGGAAGCGCAGCCAAAGGGGGGCGAGGTCCAGAGAAGGGGCGCCCCCGCCGCCGCGCTCTCCTGTTGCCGGGCAACCGGAAACGGGTCGGGACGCCATTGGCTGGTGCCCGCGGCCTAGGGGCGGAGCTTGCGCGGTGCCGGGAAGGCGGAGCGGGTCCTCCGGCCTGCGCCAGCCCGGGAGGAGGAGCTTGCGCGTGCCATGGGCGCATGCGTGGGGCGCGGCCTGGGGGCGGGGCGGAGCGTCATGGGGCGGGGCGGGGCCTGCGTGGGCGGGGCCGGCCGTTGTCCGTTGAGGGGCGGGGCCTGCGCCGGGGGCGGGGCGCGGGGGGCGCCGTTGGTTGGCGGGCGGCGGGCGCGGGCGGGCCATGGCCCTGCTGCTGTGCCTCGGCCTGACCGCGGCGCTGGCCCGCGGCTGCCTGCACTGCCACGGCAACTTCTCGGAGAAGTTCTCTTTCTACCGCCATCACGTGAACCTCAAGTCCTGGTGGGTGGGCGACATCCCCGTGTCGGGCTCGCTGCTCGCCGACTGGAGCCGGGACACCATGAAGGAGCTGCACCTGGCCATCCCCGCGGAGATCAGTGAGGGCGGGTGGGGGCTGCGGGGGGCGGGGCCTCCCGGGCGCGCCCCCTCCCCGCCCCCCGGCCCCGGCCCCGGCCCTGGCCCCGGCCCCGGCCCCCGCCCCCGGCCCCGGCCCCGCCCCCCGGCCCCGGCCCCGGCCCGGGCCGCTCACCTGCGCCTCCTCCCGCCCCCAGCCCGGGAGAAGCTGGACCAAGTGGCGGACGCCGTGTACCAGAAGATGGACCAGCTGTACCAGGGGAAGATGTATTTCCCCGGTAAGGGGGCAGGGGGCGGCCGCCACGCGCGGGAACCGGACGGCTCCCCTCCCTCCGCCCGCCGCCGCCGCCTGACCTCCCTCCTGCCCACCCGCCCACCCGCCCACCAGGATATTTCCCCAACGAGCTGCGAGCCATCTTCCGGGAGCAGGTGCATCTCATCCAGAACGCCATCATCGAAAGTGAGCAATGGAGGGCCGAGGGGGTTCGTGGTGGGGGACGGCCACTGTATTATTTCAGGAGTCCCTTGGAGGCTGGGGCTGGAGGGACATGAATGAATGGGCCCGCGGGCACCCGAGGGGAGAGGGGCAGCTCCCCGAGGCAGGGTCCCCCTTCGATCCCGTAGGCAGCGGCAAGGTCCCTTGGATAAACCCGGCGCCTCCCTGCCACCTCCCCCTGCCCGGGCCTGGAGGCCTGGGTGAGTAGTGCTGCCGCCCTGCCCCAGGGCAGTTGGCTCCGTCCCAGGCTGGGCCACCCGGGGTGAGCCTTGGGGAGGGCAGGAGCTAGGGACAGGTCGGTCCTCTTGTCCCCACAGGCCGCATTGACTGTCAGCGTCACTGTGGTGAGTGAGCCCCCGTGCAGCCCGGAGGACCCAGTGGTGGTGGCGGCCCTGGAGGCCGAGGCGGGGGAGCCCGTGGCTGCCTCTCCTGTGTTGCAGGCATCTTCCAGTACGAAACCATCTCCTGCCTCAACTGCACTGACTCGCACGTCGTCTGCTTTGGCTACAACTGCGAGTAGGGCTCAGGCTGGGGTGGGGACGGGCTTGCCAGGGATCCTCCTGACCCTCTGTGGCCTTCCAGTCCCCGGGGGGGGGGGCGCGGTGGGGGCCTGTCCGTGAGCCCTGGGTTCTGGATCCGGGGCCTCCCCATCTCCACGCCCGTGTGCCCGCAGGTCGTCAGCACAGTGGGAAACAGCCGTACAGGGCCTCCTCCTTTACATGTGAGTTGGGGCAGCTGGGCTCTGGGAGGGCACTGTGACCTCCAACTCTGGCGTTACCTGATTCCAACCCTGCTGTCATTGTAGAAATAAGTGGCACAAGTAAGTCCCCTGTCCCCAACCACAACGTGAGTTTTATCAGAGGCAGTGCGCTTGTGAGTCCTGGTGGGTGAGTATGTGCCAGGGCAGCCACAGGAGGCAGTACCTGGCTGGCCCCATGCTCAGGACCCCAGCTGCACAGGGGGCAGGACAGTGGCCAGAGCTGGGGAGGGCCCCCCCATGATGGATCTGGCCCAGTGGAGGGACCAGGGGGCCACAGGCCCTAAAGCTTGAGGCTAACTGGGACTCTGTGGTGTATTTCAGACAGGACACCAAAACAAGGTAAGTGCCCCACTTGCCTCCCCAAAACCCTGGCTGGGTCTTCTGAAAGGGATGTGGGACAGTCAGGAAAGGGGTGGAATGGGGGCCTCCCAGTTGGGGACAGACAGGGACAGTTGGACAGGGCAGTCACAGCCGGCAGGGATCTCTGTGCACCTGGGACAACCCCGATGTCACCTCTGCAACCACACCCAAGTGATCAGTTCATCAATAAACATCAGCTGCTTCTCCTCCTGACGACGCACAGAACCACTCCAGCCTTGTGAGTGGCCCAGAGGGAAGCAGGCTGTGAGGCCCCGGGTGGGTTCTGCCGGCGGGGGGGGGGGGGGGGGCTCCATACCGAAGGGTTGAGCCTAAGCCAGAGATGAAAACCCAATGGCCAATTTCCCCAAGGGCTGCCCCCCACTTTTGCAGCTTGTGGTGGGAGTCTTGGGTGTGACCCCAGTGCTGGCCAGGGCCTCCATACTGAGCTTGGAGGGTTTTGTCTGCGGCGCCCCAGGCCTCCAGCGAAGACCCTGGGCTGGGGGGCCGGGGGGGCAAGGCAGGTGCAGAAGGGCTGAGGGCACCCATGTCTCCCCAACAGTCTGATATCACCAAGCTTCACATGTCTTGAGCCCCCACACTTGGCCAACCTGACTCTAGAAAATGCTTCCGAGTGCCTGACCCAGCACTGATGACCACCGGGTTTGCCAGAGCGGCCCTAGCCTTGAGGTGGAGCCAGACTCAGCTGGACTGTCCCAGCCTGACCCCATGGAGCAGGCCTGCCGCTGCCTCGAGCCCCTGCACTCCCATCAGAGCCTGGGGCTGGGCCGGGAGCAGTGTGTGGCTTTGTCGGGCGGGGTCACAGAGCTATTAGATGCAATGATTAAATGTCCCTCACATTTCTCATCACCGCGCATCCTTGTCCAGGGAACGGGGGCTGGGGCCCCAGAGATGTCCACGCCTGTTTACCGCAATCCGTCTGAACACAGCTGGGCAGACTTTCTGCATGGAACCAAGCTTGTGGAGCCGGGTGGGTGCTCCTGAGGACTCCTAGCGAGCCGCAGTTTGGTACAAACCAGGGCCAACTTTTGTGCCTCTTGGGGTTCACGCCCCATTGCACTAAACTTGAGCCATGGGAGCACAGGAGTCCACCTGTGTCCTCTCCTTCTGCAAACCCTCCACGTGGGTTAAGAGAGATGGGCCCCAAATGGCATGATGTAGACAGACGAGCAGGGACTTGGGAACTAGGGTCCTACCAGGACGCAGCCTAGTGCCTGGAAGGGCTGCCACAGCGGGTCCATGCAGGTCAGGAAAGTTGCACAGGGCACCTGAGAATGACGTCCTGGCAGCTGTGCAGAACAGTCTCCTGGGCCAAGTGCTCGTCCGAGGGGATGGGTGTTGGGAGCGAAGGCTGGTTAGCTAGCGGGGCCAGCAGAGCCCTTGCCGCGTCACTGTGGGGTGTGCCCCTCCAGGCTTACCTTTCCTGGCCCTGGGGAGGGAGGTGAGGGCCAGCAAGGGATCTGGCCTGAATATGTGACATGTGGCTTTTTTCCACTGAGAAGAGTGAGAAAGCCTTGTGGCTGGTGTTTGGGGCAGGTGATTCTCAAACAGGGACACTGGTGGAAGGTGGGCTGCCGAAGGCCGGTCTCATGAGGGCACCCCAAGCCGGGAATTGTCTGGGCCTGGGCTCCGCACTCTCCAGCGTGGGACTCAAGCTCGACGAGCCGTCCAGCTTTCCATCTCCCCACCCAGCGTTACTTGTCTCAAATTGTCTCTTGTCCACGTGTCAGTAAAGCCAGCGGAAATGTGGCAAATTAGAGCAAGTAGGACCTGCCTCCCACCATCGCCCACAAAGCCCCTCCTAGTGGGGTCCCCTGGGAAGGGAAGGCAGGGCATGCCCACCGTGCATTGCTGGTGGGCCTCCCAGAGCCCCATGGGTGGGGCTCAGGCGGCTCCCTGCTACACTGGCCAAGCTCAGGCGCCTGGACGCTGTGGGGATGACCTCACCACCACCACCTGGGGAAGGAGGGAACAGGGCTGCTCAAGGACTGTGAGGCGGTCCCCACACGCTGGCATGGGCAGGACATCCAACAGATAAACATCTGTTTTACAAGTTTATTGGATCATCTTGACACAAAATCATTACAGCAGCGTGATATGTCTCTCTCCTTTATCTGGGAATGTCGATAGCAAATCAATTCTTATATAACACATCATACAATTTTGAGGTTCTAGAATCACCGCACAGGATTCTGTAATAGATTACTCTACATGCTAAAGTGACAGTGTTCGTCAGAAGGAAGTCATGACGTCGTTGAAGACCATCACCTCTGAGGAAGTGCATCTCATGGGCGTGGCCTGAGGTCCCCATGCCCCCTCCGTGGGGTGCATTCCAGGGGCTGGGGCCACCCCAGGAGTGAGCCTTCCCAGCAGCTGCGGGCACGACGTGGAACCAACCCTGTGGAGCGTTGAGCAACAGGAAGGACTTGGAATCCCCAACAGTCCTACCACTCACCAAACAATGCTGACGGAGACACATCTCACTGAACAGAAAAAAAACTGTTAACCAAAGGGTGCAGGTTGTGCTCCGTCAGGGATGGTGACTGGACTTCCATGGCAGGTGGCAGCCCCCGTCTGACACACGAACACGTGAGTAGGACGCAGAGAACACAACAGACAGCAGCCTGCACGACCCTCTGGCCACAGCGGAGAGGGCGGAGGGAGTGTCTCTGTGGTGAGCAGGAGCCCCCAGGCAGGGTATCCGGGCGCCTCGTGGGACTCGGATGGCCTCACAGAAGCAGGACACGCCGCCCTGCACCGGCCACCGAGCGCCCGTGGCCTGGATGGCGGTGAGGCCTGATCCTCAGGCAGCCGGCCTAGCTACTGGAGCCCCCGCCGGTGGGGACTGCATCCGGGTTTCTCGCCAAAGAGAGTGCAAAGAGTCAAAGTAAAAACAACGACAGGATACATCAACGCAACATGTCACCTCGCCACGTCAACAGTGGGTGCCCTGTCCCGGCGAGGCCGCAGGCTGGGCTCAGCACATGGCCAGCGTGGCTTTCATCTCCTCCAGCAAGTTGCTCAGGAGCGTCGAGTCGCTGCATTTCCCATCGACGGATACGGACTTCTCCCCCTGGAAGAGGGAAAACCACCATGGAATTTTGAAATACGACACAAAGATATTGCCTCGTGATGGTATGTTCATCCTTTTAGTTTTTCACGAGGCTGCCTTCTGTGCTCAGAGAATTAAATGAGGGAGGGGTCCCAGGTCAGATGCGTGTCTGTCCGGAACCAGCAAGGCATGTGGGGCGGCCCGACCCTCGAACTGGAGAACCCCTATCCGGTACTGCGCGAGGCCTCAGCAGACTGTGGGAATTATGCCAAAAGCCCGTTGGGGGACCTTGAGAGGAGCATCCAGAGCCTCGAAGGTCCCGGGGAGGACCGTGGGGAAAGCAGTCTGTAAAGTCGTCTGTGAGCCACCGGGTTGGTCCCCCAGCACTGGGATATGTAGATGTCCCCCTAACGAGCACACGCACCACGGGATCATGGCCGGGCCAGCCTGGGGCTGAGCCCACACGCAGCAGCCCCGACACGCAGGAGAGAGGCTATGAAGCCTGTGCGCACGCCCTCCACAGCATGAACACAGCCCCGAGTGACTCAGCATCCAAAGACCCGGGAAAGCCCAGCTCAGCTCAGCAGGAAAGACGGCCACGGCCAGGCCACCATGAGGCAGCTGTGGGGCCATCTGGCACAGGCCCACAAGCCTACTGTGAGGATCCCCGAATGTCACTGACACAGGGAAACAGCACACCTCAGCAAAGAAACGTAAGATCTCAAGAACCACCTCCTCCATGGAAGTTTTAGATGTGAACACGTCATCCTCAACATGGAACATGCACTGGGTGAGACTGATGGCAGACAGCCACAACAGCGAAGAGAATCTGGGAACCCGGGCCGAAGGAGAGACTCACCTGGACAGAGGGTAGGGGCGGGGAGGCGGGCCGCAGACACTCTAAGAATGCAAACACACGTCCCTGTTGTTGGGATACCACAGGGACATGAGTAACCCAGTGCCAAGAAAGGACTTTTTTTTTTTTTTTTAAGATTTTATTTTATTCATGAGAGACAGAAAGAGAGAAGGGGGTGGTGGGCAGAGACACAGGCAGAGGGAGAAGCAGGCTCTATGCAGGGAACCAGACGTGGGACTCGATCCCAGGTCTCCAGGATCACGCCCTGGACCTAAGGTGGCGCTAAACCACTGAGCCACCCGGGCTGCCCTAGACTTTTTTTTTTTTTTTTAAACACTTAAGTCATCTCTACCCCTAACGCAGGGCTCAAACTCATGACCCTGAGATCAACTGAAAGCGGTGTGATTTTAAAGCACCTAGAGAAAGGTCTGTCCAGGCTAACGCGCCCACCAGAACTAGTCCTGGGGACAGGATCTTGAGCCACAGGCCTGTTCTAGAAGAGCCACCAGGAGGCAGGTGCAGATGGTTGTGGTGATCACTGGGGCTGAGGGTCTCCAGCAGCTGTCCTGTGATCCCTGACAGCAGGTCCCACGAAAGGAGGCTGAGGGGCTGGTGGGGGGCAAATGCTGAGCCCAAGACACAGGAGAGGGAGGGCAGAGGTGAACGGTAGGCACAGATGGAGAAGAAAGGAGGAGGAAACCCTAGCGTGGTCTAACCACACCCAGCCATGAGGACACATGGACTGCACCCGAAAGCACTCCCGCCAGCATGGTAAAGTCAGGCTCGAAGGTAAGGAACGCCACGTCGACACCAATCACCAGACAGCAAGAGTGGCTTTTTGGATAAAGGACTTGACAGCAGACAAAACCCCAATGGGAAGAGAGACATTTGTGGGTCAAGATGCCGTGACGCTCAGTCAACACATCTGCCAACAGACCCACAGAGCCAGCGAGACTGCCTGCAAGGGCCCAGAGGAATGGAGACCATCGCCATGCGGGGCCCAATGACAGCAACGGACTGATCCTAACCCTAACCCTGACCCTCCACGCACCCATGGAGCACCACCTGCCACAGGTGACCACGTCTGCGGCCAGAACACAAATCTCCATACTTTCAAAGACCCGAAATCAGAAGCAGCACATTCTCCAACCAGGGTGGCGTCAAGCTAGAAATCAGGAGTAGAAAACCATCGAAATGCTGGAAAACTAAACACCACAGGTCTAAGGAACCTGTGGTTCACAGAACTGGAAGCAGACATCAGAAAATGTCATGAAATGTATAGAAATACAAAAACAGAACCTATAAAAATTTGTGGGGTTCAGCTAACGTGCTACTTTGAGGGAAACGGACAGCACTAATCTCTGAGAAGAGCAGAGTCTCAGCTTCCACCTAAACCAACATACAAAAGAGTAAACAAAAAGGAAGAAAACAATCTGTATTGCTCAAAAATAGCAAAACTTCTATAAAGGTAGTTTCATTTGTTTTGAAGTAGGCTCCATACCTAGTGTGGAGCCCAGCGTGGGGCTTGATCTCGTGACCCTGAGATAGAGACCTGAGCTCGACAGTCGGAGGCCCCCAGAAACACAGCTAAGAAAAACATGCAGCTGATAAACCCGCAGCCAGGAAGACCAAGAAAAATTGGAACACACGTTGCCAACGCAGGACCGAGGGAAGACACCGCCACAGACCCGCTGATGGTGAAGAAGAGAACCAAGGACTCTACCCACGTGGATCTGCCAGCTCAGGTGGAGAGCACATGACCCCGGGTTCACCTGAGAGGACGCAGGTAAACCTGGCGGGAGGACTGGCACCGCCCCCAGCCGCCCGAGGAAAGGAGCAAGCAAGCACGGGCCCTACGCACAGTGTCTCCCAGGAGACACAGGAGGGGGCACATGCCCAACTCTGCC